TTTTGGAATTCTTGAGAATATAACTCTCAACCCTAATAATTCGTGGTGATTATCATCCAGAAAATTTTGCAAAGCATTGATGGATTTTTTGGATGGAGGTGCAACTTCATTGATCAAAGGGATGGTCAAGAATTGTTAAGCTGACCTCAGGAAATTAGTTAAACAAACGCAACAACCCCGAATTTGGACTCTAATCTTCTTTTTCTTTTCTTCCATAGCATGTTGCATTTCCTGCAAAGCCTCAAGTGACGGGGGACACTGGGGCGATGGTGGACCAGTTTCTTGATTCTGCAATCTTGTGATGTTACGCTACGAGTCTAATCTGTGTTTAGGATGCTTAAAAAGAATATTCGGACTAAACTCCATGTACAAACCCGACTTATCTCCAAGGACGACGAACATATATAGATCATGACAGCGATATTCACCTTTTTAAACTCACATATTGATAATCTAACCCATTGAGATTTTGTACACTTGATCCGCAAGCTAACGTGTGCTTTTCTGTATGATCACAAGCTTTGATTAATTAGTTGTGATAGTCACTCATGTTTGATTGATGACTAATTAATCTCGCTGTGCTCCTTTTAGTTAAACTAGTCGAATTCGACTGGAAGAAACTTTGCCTTTTAATTTTCTTACAGTTTGGTCTCCTATGTACACTATCTTTCTGGTTCCTGACATTTTTCATACTGGAGTCTCTGGAATGTCAACACTAATCTTGTCTTCTCCCATAAATGGTGCCATGTTAGAGGAACTGGAATCTCATCAACTTGCACTGTAACATGCATAATCCATCCATCATTGGTGCTCATTAGACATTCTCGTTAACGCACATAAACAATATCAAACTCATCGCGTGAATTCACATGTTAATAATTATTATTCTTTCTTGCATTTATACGCCTGCCTCTCTTGTAATTAACTATAATTTTTAAAAAAAAAAAAATTAAAAGTCGAACTACTTCACGAGCACTCGTCAGATAGATGGACCCTATATATATATATATATATATATATATATATATATATATATATATATATATATATATATATTGTTTATGGAACTGTATAAGATTCAAGTACGAGTTAGAATTGCATTGGGCTATATATAATACGGATTTGGAAGCAAATTATTCCAAGCAGAATGGAATAATTTGGAAGCCTCCACGTGAAATCAGGCTTCTCAGATAAATGGCAAAGGAGGACTGTGATGTGATGTTGAAGATATGAGGAGGATTGCATGTTTCCATTTTTTCACTTGAGAATTGAAAGAACAGGAGATAGAAATTGAAGCACAAAAAAACCAACGGTCTAGGTTCGTCAACCATTTTGGTCATGTCTGCTTTTGCCATTCCTCGGATGAGGCCTCTACCACCAGCCTGTGTCTCACTATTGTGTTGTGTCAAGTAGAAGCAAGAAGTGTCAGTGTTGTCTAGACCTGCTGGATCCTCTATCAAATGGACAAGATATAAAGACATATCCTACTAAAAATTCTGAATCCAAACTTAGTGGGACAACTTGGGTGCTCAATGATCAAAGTGGTAAAGCTGTAGGAGTAACTTGGAGATAACATGAAAAAGCCATACAACTCAGAATTATTTGTACTTGAAACTTCAAACACTAAAAATTTAAGAACAAAGAAAAGAAAACAACGTATCAAGACTTGGATATTCAGCCCATCAGAAAGCAGAATTCTCTTTTCTGCCTTTTTCCTAAACGACAGTGGCACACATGCCGACCCCATTCACATGTTAGAAGCTCACTTCTCTGAGGAGCTCCATATGCATCCACAGATCCAAAGCCGTGCAAGTTACTTGGGAACAAGTCTGGTGCTGCATTCTTGAGTTCAAGAAAAGATGAAATGATATTCATCAATACATTTGATGATTTAACTCTGTCTAACACTGCAAAGTAGCACAGTTCAGTATTCATGTAGACACAGCAACATTAATATGAATTCAACACCTGATGACATTTGCTAACTGCAATTTCATTAGCCAAAATCTCCTGCCAGTCACTTGTGCAATCCTAAATTCCTAGAGGCAAACACTAAAAAACCGTGTGCTCGTGCATGGCAAGATTAGTAAGAGCTCAATTGCCTTTTCCATGCCGAAAAAAGAAAATTTTGACTTCTACACATCCCGAAAGGTGAGCAGTGGTTATTAACGATACGATAGAAAGAAATGCATGGTGTGGAATTGAGGATAATTTCCTAGTCCATTTTCTTAGTAATAATATATCTTGAAGCGCATTCATAGCATATCTGGCGTGTGTTACAACAGTACTTTTTGGAGCGTCCTTAGGCACTTTTGGGTTTATCATAGCTATATATCTAGGTTGAGCTAGAGGAAAACAGACAAAACATCATATTTAGAATTGATTTCAAAAGATTTGGCCATCTCCACCAGATAGATGGGGTTAGTGCAGGTTGGCCCCTGTTATAGCACTTCCATGTATAAAGACAGAACACATGGGGAATCTGCTGATTAATCTAGTACGCCTGTTTCCTACTGGGTAATTAAATTCATTGCCTATACATTTTCTTTTCCTGCTCTCTCTCTGTTCATTGATCATTATATTTTTGGCTGGCAAGTGAATGAAAAACACTTCGGTAAACAAGGAAGTCTTATACCTTGAAACAACGAGAAACAGTAATAAAAGTTAAAGTGAAAGATCCAGTTTTAAACCTATCTGCGATCTAGTTTACAAGTTTTGGCTTTGACATGACCCACTGTTACTAATGTGCAAAATTGTACAAGATGCAACGGCAAAGCAATACTGTACCTCCAAGTATGACTTTATTTTGTGCTTTACCTTTTGTTCAGATTGAGTGTCCGTCTATCAATCCAAAATCAAAAACCATGGTTCCAGATTCCCAAGTAAAGAGCTAGTCTTCTATATATGCTACACACCAAAGAATTATCCTTCATCTTGTGAAGACGATTCTGGAATCTATTATCCATGTAATAGTGTACTATGCACAAATGGCTGAGAGCTCAAACCAAAGCAGCTCAGCATCAACAGCAGATCCTACTGAAGCCTTAGATTTGAGTCTCACAGCTTCACCATCAGTAGTGAAGCTATTTGGTTTTCCTGTCACCCAATGGGGCAGAAGCGCCCTTGGGGCGCACCAGAATGCAGACAGCAAAAGATTCGAGTGCCAATACTGCCACCGCCAATTTGCAAATTCGCAAGCTTTAGGTGGGCATCAGAATGCACACAAGAAGGAGAGGCAAAGACTAAAAAGAGTGCAGTTCATGAATGATCAATATCTTCCAAAATTTGGAGACGCTAGTGCTAGTCATGACACTATGATCAATCAACATGCAGCTCGATCGGGACCTTTCTTGTATTCCACAGCACCGCCTTGTGCTACAAGCATCGGTCCATACATCGGCCCACACTTAGGGTCGTCGGCTGCTCATCAGTACAGCTTCGCACACCCACCTCAGGTGCTATCTGGGATACCTATTAGATATCCTTGTGCAACTAATTACGTTGGAAGATCAGAGCAAGCGGAGGTTAACCATCTCCAACGCGCTACTGTAAGATCCTCAAAATCTTCATCAGTGTCTGAGATCAATGATGAAGTGGACGTTGATCTCCATCTATAACTAGCACCAACATGAGATCGGTAGAATTATCTCTATTCTGTGCTCTTGACGCCGTGGAACTAACCTCTAAATCTCGTGGCAGGATCCAATTGTCAAGGACATTATTTTCATATCTCATAACGAGAGCTCAATTTTCTTCTCCCTTCTCCTCTTCACATCTAAAAGCTTTGTAAAGAAAGTAGAATTGTCCTTGGTTTTTTCAGCTGGTTGGACAAGGAGAAGAACAATTAATGAGCTAAATAATGACTTAGCGAGTGTAACATCCTTTTCAACCATTGTAGCTATAGTTACTTTTGGGGTCGTTATTTGACAATTCAGATGCCTGTCTTGCTGTGGCAAAAATTCTGAATTTCACTATGGAAACATTCCTTACTTAGCACTTCTGGAATTAATTTCTGGAATTTTCGGAAATTATATAAGATTCACTCCCAAGGAGAATAGATTTTATGAGAAAAACTGTCATAAAATGTGTGGAAAAATTATATCAATCAAAGTATTAACGAATTAATGCATGATGCATCATTAAGAGGACAAGGAATTTTAACTAATCATACATATGCATTGTTTAAGTTTAGATGCAAGTTAACCAATCATAATTTGAGTTTGAAGTTCAAAATTTGTGTCTAACCCTACTAATGTATATATCTACCTTACCGGCAATATACTCCATTAAAATTTGTATCTACAATCAATAGTGTGCTGGACTAACTTGCTTCCATGATCCTATATCTAGAAGAAGAAGAAATTTCGTCACATTTCTAAACTTTGAGGACTAAATTCTGAAACAAGAGAAAAAGAGCCACCCAAAAGAAAAAAAAAGTGGCTAAGCCCTCTCCCAAATAGGCATTAATGCTACATTACCATGACATGTCATAAATGAGTAAACTGTATATTTTTTTAAGAACTCCATCGATCGACAATAAAATTTGACAAATTAATTTCGATGTTATTTCTAGGAAAAAAATGTTGTTGCTGTAATCTTCATCATAGATAAAAACAATTTTGAGAGAATGCAAAGAAATAGAAGGTTGATGGATAATGAGAAGTTTGAGGTCGTCCACTGTCTCTCAGAGAAAAGCCCGCAGATTATTCTTCGGCCTTTCTTCACACAAATTACTTGTGCTATTTTTCTGTTTTTTTTTTACCTTTTTTTGTTGTTTTGGTGGGGGGGGGTTGGGGTGGTAATGCCAAAATGATGGCTCGGACAACACACAAAGACCCATGGATTCAGCAGCACCCTGATTTTGCCTGCTTCAATGTTATTGTTTCTATAAAATGAAACCTAATCCAAAGGGCAGCACTTTTGCCTCCTATCTTTCTCCCCTACCACAACCATAACACGACGTGTCCTGAATCAATTCAGGAGGAGAAATGAAGGAAACAATGGCCTCGTCCCACTGGTCCTTAACCCTTGACCATAGGTTTCAGCCCGTCCGGGCTGCCAAGCTTTCAAACCATACCAATGTAGTTGCAAATCCCATGTATCGCATCCCAGATTCTTCTTCTTCTTGTTATGGCGGATCAGATACGACGTCGCGTAACACTAGGCTTACAACATCATCAACACCCGCCTCTTCCAATGCAAACTCGTCTTGGCAACGTGGGAAAGATTCAGAAGTTAAGAGGAAGCAACGGATTGCGTCCTACAAAGCATACGCTGTTGAAGGCAAGATCAAGGCTTCAGTACGTAAAACTTTTCGTTGGATGAAGAACAAGTATAGCTATTTCGTGCATGGATATTGAATTAATTGTTTGTCAACCCTGTTGGAAGAGGTCTTTTATTTCTTCCCTTTTCCTATGGTCAATATTTGTATTATACATCAATCTCTTGTATATTTTTTGTTTTTATTTTTCTCCTCAATTTGTATTGGTTGATCCTTTGATATCTATTATAAGCGTATGTTGTTATTATGGACTTGTTACTACATATGCATCATCTCTAGCTAATATATCGTGTAAATGAATGCATATACTATATATTCACATTTATTATACCTTTGAATTTAAATACCTTTCTAAAATACTTAATACTTTTACTACAAAATTAAAACTTTTTACAAGTCGAGTTTGGGCTTATTAATTAAAACCTGATTCATGTTTCTAATTAGAAGTCTGCCAAAGAGGGTATAGTACTGGTGTATAAATAAGTAATCCCACCTCATCCTGCCAAACGTAGTATTTTGATGTATAAATAAGTAGTCCTTACTTATTTTATCTACAACCAAACCAAATAAATACAATACAAGATTATGACTCAATCCAAGATAAATGTCCGAGAATAGATTATTCCCTCTCATTATTATTTTTTTTTTGATGAACCAAATATATGCACCCTAGTGGTGCAAATGAATGCATAAATTCATGTTTATTACACTATCGAATTTGGTTACTTTTCTAAACTTTTGCTAAAAAATTAACACCTGAACCCCTCTTAACGAGTATCCCACAAGCACTCGTTCGCCAAACTCATTTATTATATATACTTTTAGCTCCAAAAACACGTACACCGACAACGAGAAACTAGAATCCTTGTTACATTCTTTTTGGCTTTTACTCCTCGTGGATTCTACTGCAAGTAGACCGTGCAAGCAGTGAAGCTGATGCTGGTCGAGAAATTAAATGCAAAACTAAACATGTTCCCCAAATGATCGATGATAAGGGAATTACGTTTAGGGTATGTTTGGTTCCCCATGGAATTGGGGTTTAGAATTGGAATTGAGGCCCCAATTCCAATTCTATTGTTTGGATTCTGCTCCACTCAAAGAATTAGAATTGAATCTGAATTCTATGAGGGTCCAATTCCATGATTTGAATTCTTTATGGGATCAAAAGAATTCTAATTCCAATTCCACACAAAATCGTAAGAAACGGGTTTACACGCGGATCAAATGTGGGTAAAAATTATAACCGGGTCAAACATAAAGTTGCAAGAAACAAAGACGTCTCTTTGTCCCGATCGCTTGCACAGCCTCACAGGTGCCCCTCCTCCATCATCGCTTCCACCTCCACTATAACATTTTACGTCTCCTACCACCGTCTCCCTCTCCGCCTTCCAATCCTCCGGCCACTCCCTCCATCCTTCTCCACTCCCGCCACCCTTTCACCCATCAGCTCGCCAATCGCAACACCTACCCTGTCCAATTTTTTTCGCTCCGTCTCCACACTTACCTCTGCCGCTCCTCCATTTCTGTTGCAGTCACCTTTATTCCTCTTATCCTTACTTTCTGGGTTCTCTCCTTCAGCTCTTTTGCTTTCCCCAAATTTCAGAAATACTTAGGGCTTGTGAAAGGTAACTTCATCTTTGAAATTTTTTAATTAATCATTGGTTATGGGCTTTGTTACAAAACTTTGTTTCATTTGACACATTGCCACGGTTTGTTCTGTTTCAATGTGCCATCTCAAAATCCAGAAAAATAGGAGTAAATGAAGGCAAAACTTCCAGAAAAGTAAGTTCAAGTTCTGTAATTTAGATTTGACTATGCATTTAGAGATTCACATTTGTTACATAGGTCTGTATTTGGAATCTTCATGCTTGTCTATGTGCATCTCGGATTTTTGTTCTACCTAGTTTGGAAGTTTAATCTCTTGGTGCAGTAGCAGTACATGAAAGCAAATAAGACCGCAAAAGCCACCACTACTATAGCTACAAAGCCATAATTCTGAATCATATCCAAAATGCTTTTTGATGTAGTCTTTAATCATTGGGTGAGAGGACATCCCAGGGACTTCAATGGTGTCTTCTACGTCACCATATTGGTATGCAATTAGTCTATAAACCATCCATGCTAATGGGCAAATCCAGTAATATCATATCCACCACTTGGGAACTTTCTGAAGTTTTAAATAGGAGTAAAAAATCAATTTGTGCTTCTTTCCATGTGGTAATGATGATTGCCTTCTCCAACCGAGTATTTGGTTGACCACAAGGTTCATAAGAGAAGTCAGGCCAAAAGGGAAGAAAGAAAAATAAATCAGTAGCATAAATATTTTGATCTTCACTTAGAGCTTTTTCCTTACAAGTATATGATGACTACGCAGTTTTAATACCAGAGAAATATGTCACAGGAATATGAGAATTTGACATCTTTTTATTTCCTGGTTATGCTGTCATATGTACACTATGTGCACATTTGTGTTGTGGTTATGTAAATGATCTGCGTAAGTGCACATCTGTGTTGTGATTATGCTGTCATATGTACATTAAGTGCACATTTGTGGTGTGATTATGTAAATGATCTGCGTAAGTTTGATTTCAGATGATGTGATTGTCACTGGGGTGTTGACGGAAAAATGGTCACCTGATGTAAAGGATGCCCGCTGTGACCTTGATCCTGTCTTAGTTGCAAACTACGTAAGGTACTTGTGGTTCTGTTCCTCGTTTAATTCAACTGTCAGATAGCTTTTCATATTTTTGGCATGATTAGAGAATCATCTGTTTCTATCTAATCAAACATTATTGGAACTACTAGTTTAATCACTCTCTGTTCCTGTTAGTTTAATAACATTATTTTGTATTTTACGGCTACTAGTTTTGGATTGGTAATTGGTTATAATCACTACCAAGTTAGCAGAGTTAATTCAATAAGTGCTTTTTACAATTGGTTTCATTGTAAATGGATATAAATGATTATGCTCTTACTGATCCAAGGTTAGACTAGTAGTAGATTTTCAACATTACTGTTGCTGGTCAAAGCTCCTCCATACAGAGTTGGGGTTAGAGTTAGGACTTGTGTAAGGAGACCAAACAATGATTAGAGCATCTTACACCATCTACATGACATGCACAAAATATTCTAAATTGCCGCATTGGTCAAGGCATCACCATGAACCTTCCACTTCTTAAACTCGGTAGAGGCTAACATAAATGAACTTGCATTCCGATGGCCTCCACCACTGAATTCCTTCATGTGATTCTATGATATGCATTTTCATAACTGAATAGGAGAAGTGCTATGAGTTGTGAAGATATTAAGAACCTGTGAGATTTGTGTTGTATCCTCATTCTCAATGAGGATACGAGTTATCTAAAATTGAATTGGATAGATTTCAATTGTTGAAGGGTATTGATTTACTTATGAATGACAGGACAAAGTATGACACTTTTTCTGGTCTCCGAGATGACTTAAAAAAGGATTGGCTACTGATCCACATTGGTAATTGATTTTTTTTTTTTGGTAATCTTCAGTTGAAGTTGTTTTTGTAGAAGAAGTTGAGCTGATTGCTGGACGCCCAAGTAGAGAAAGTAGAAGTTGTTACTACTCCATCGTGTATCCATGACTTTTTAAATTCTGATGAGTTCTTTGTTTTTTATGTAATGGATCAAAACAAGATTATAGAAAGATTCTAGGGAGTATTTCAGCTATTTTCTATCTGATTTTTGAGATTATAAGAATGGAACATTGGATATTTTGTCTATTCATAGCAATGTTGCTGCTGTTTATCAGAAGTTTGTTTCTTTTTTTGGCAGAGTATCTTTAGTAGAGAGCCTGGATGGTATTAGAGGGGCCTTTTGATTAGCATGCACGGGGGTGGAAGTTTTAAAATTCTACTGTTCTTTATGCATCTCAGCATGGCCAAACAAGGTCAGATGGATGCTGTGCATTGGGTGGGAAGTGGTGTGGGTTTTTTTGTTGTTGTTGTTTGGGGGGGGGTTGTGTTTGGGTTTGGAAGCATATTAGGTGGGAAAGGAATTAGGAGGTCTCTTTGTATTGCTCATTGACGTTCACTCTCCATACTGGAATTGGCTCAGTTTATGGTTTTCACTTTCACAAGGTATAAAGCTACCTAAACCAAATGATGCCTGTTGTTTGGATCATGTACTTGCCCAGTCCTTTTTGGTTATTATGGAAATCTTACTACCAGCACAATCATATTGGTATATTTGTACCTGTGCGATAAGAAATTGGCACTCTGAATATTGATTAGTGCTAGATTGGCTGTTTATTGCTGATTTGCTGGCTTTCTGATCAATTTTTTTTTTTTTGTAGAAAAGGAACTAATTTGTTTTTTTTTTCTCTAAAGCATTAGTAACAATTAGTTAAATGCAAGAAAAAAAATAAATTATTAAAGGCACTAATTGGCTTTTTCCTTAAAGCTTTAGTAGCAATTAGCTAAATGTTAAAAAATTATTATATAGTAAAAAAGAAGAAATTTTTTATGTAAGGAAATGTTAGTTGGAAACAATTCTAATTCTTAATGAATTCTTCTCCCATCCAAACGAAGAATTTGGAATTCCAAATGAATTCTTTATCAATTCTATGTATTTCCCAAACAAAAGAATTCCAATGTTTTGGAATTTCAATTCATAGAATTCTAATTCTATAGAATTTCAATTCCAATTCAATTCCAATTCTGTTAAACCAAACGCACCCTTAGTACTTTCTTCGAGTCGAGCTAGCAGTTAATGTTCTTGTATTGCTGCAATTCTCCATCAAAATTGGTAAGATAGAATCGTTCTGTCCATTCTTAAGTTTAGCAAAGTACTTTAAAGTAAAGACGTTATGGCAAACCTAGGATTTGTCTTTTATACGATAACGGTGTAGAATTATCTCCCAAATTCGATGTATTGTAGATGTATAACAATTCTTCAAGATTATACTCCCTCCGTCCCACTTTGATAGTCATGTTCTTTTTTTCACACAGTTTAAGAAAAAATAGTTAACTTTGTTGGAACAATCAATTTAGGTAGTTATTTTCCTAAAATACCCTCACATTAATTAGAGTATAACTTTATGGGAACTTGAATTGATGGTAAGAAAAGAATCAACTCTCATTAAATGGGGTAGGTTTATAGTAACAACAACTTACATTGAATAAGGGTATTTTAGGAAAATTAAAATACAACTACATTCTTCAATTGGAAAGTGGACTATAATTTGGGACAGACGAAAAAGGAAAACATGACTATCAAAGTGGGACGGAGGAAGTATTAATAATCTAGAGCTGCTTGTTACATAAATACTTATATATATATATATATATATATATACATATACAATTATACATCATGTTAAGTGAAAGAGCAGTACATTAACTAATGAATTACCAGCACGATCTCGAAAAGGCTGCAAACAGCAGTAGACAAAAAAAGATTCACCTTAAAAGTGCATTAATAGAATCCATAGCCAAATCTGGCTTAGTTACTTCTTTCTTTTATTTCTAAGTTTCGTAATTACTAAACACTTTTGTAGATATCCTCAAAAAGTTTAGAAGTCTACAAAAGTTTGCTAGAGCAACGCGCTTGGCTCTATGGCTGCAAGTGTGAGACGAATTACCCCAAAGAGGATCGCCCTCACAAACTCCAAATCCAGTTCCCTTTGACCAAATTCAAGTTACTAGGGTACGTAGTTAAAAGTAAAGTTTAATTACTTGAGTATTTGGCTGGGAGCTTCTCGTGTCTAGTGCAACATATACTTTAATCCTTCAAACATATTACTTACATTGCATGATTAATTCACCATGAAAGGTTTAAATTCATAGTTTTTTTTTATCTGGGTTGATTTCAATTTTATTCATTTTCCCCTAAAATTAGATCAATTTCCCCATTTTGTGTTCTTCTTCTTCTTTTTTTTTTTTGAAGAGGGTACAATTAGCACAAGCTGTTCAAATTCCCCTTGTAATTGCTTATGCCAGAAACATATGCTATTGTTAAAAGCTTAAATTACTCCTAAGGAAATAAGATTTGATTTCTAAATCTAACAAATTCATATACATGTAATTGTTGTATGTATGACTAAAAAAATGCAATGAAATGAAATACAATAATATACAGAATCAAATATTTTCAAGACACGTATGCATATAAATTCATTAGCTAGCCTCGAAGGCATTGGAGCTATGTTTTCTGTGAATGCATTTTCTAATCACATTTTTATCTCGTATATATTAAATTATTATAATAATTTTTCTACAAAAAATTTAAAAAAATACAATCCAAACATGACCTTAATTATTTTATCAAGCTTATACATGTCAAACTCAATTCATAAAAGGAGGAAAGATGGGGTGAGTGACATGGTGCTCTTATTTGGGTCTCCTTTGGACTTCCTCTTCTCCCGTAGTGTAAAAGTAGAAATAGACGGTTGGCGGTTAGACCAAAAAAGAAAAAGAAAAAAAAATTACGCACCTAGCTACTTTACTTTAACCTGTTGACCTTTATCTCGGTGCACAAGGAAACCATTTACCCTCTGCTTGACCGCCTCAGGAGTAATCGGACCTCTATCGTCCACCGGCTTCAACGCCAAAATCCAATGCAATCCCAGTGATATTTATTGGCCCACCTCACCATATTTGTAATTTGAAATCTCTCCCTCTCTAAAAAGTAGACGTTACCTCCTTTTTAACCTTTTCTGCAGTTTAAAAACAATTATCTGTTTAAAAACAATTATTGTTGTTTCGAAAAAAAAAAAACACCTTTTATTGTTTCCTTAAATTCATTTTCTGTCTCCTTCATTTAATGCTTTCGGAGTATGATATGACTACTCGACGACTGAGAAAAACAGCTCTAAAAACCTTCTCCTTCTCATTTCTCTTTCCCCTCCAGCATCACTTTGAATATGTCTTCACATACATGGTTTTGAAGTGCAGAAATCTTTTTTGTGGTTGAAAAGGCTCGAAGATCTGCAATTGTCCTCTGGTCATGTAAGTTTGTTTGGCTTTGTCATGTTTTTTTGACTGAAATCAACATCAGGGTTCTTTTTTTTTTTTTTTGTTTTTTTGGTGCGGTCTCAGTGCTGATGTCTGATGTATCTTCATGTCTGCGTAGATTACTATTCTTGCTCGAGTCCCGTGATTTGTGTGGTTCAAGTTGTTTCTGGATTGATGCATAGTCGTAGATTGATTTGGTGATGGTGATTAATTTTTATTTGGTTGTTCAGCAAACGTTAATAGGGAAATGTGGTAGGAAAAACATCGAAACTTTTATACAAGTAGAAGCATGTAGTTTTTTCGTGATAAAGATCGAATTTTTGGCTTAGATATTACTCTTAGTTAAATGGAAGTGTGCTAAGCTGGGCATAATTGAAGTAGCATGTGCTAAGAATGGAAGTGGTGCGAAACCAAGTTGACTTGTTTTGTTTAGTTTGCAGGTTAGGTAAAAGTATGTTGGCATTTGAATTTTCTTTTCTTCAGTTTTGTTGTGAATTCCATAGGCACGCTTATTATAGTACAAGTTGTTAGAAAAGACCCGGATGATCTTTCTTTTGGAGATCCGAATTTGGAAAACGGGAAAGTCAAAATTACAGCGGATGCATTTTTCTGTTAATCTTCACATAGTGGTATTTCTTTAAATTACAGCTGTTATTGGGTAGAATTGGGGCATGAAACTGACTAGCTTTTGCAGGGAAATGGCTGCATTGAAAAGAAAATCACACAGCCCAGTGGTATCGTCATCGAGCAGTCCTTGTATGACAAGATGATTAAATGACTCGAGTGTCGGCCTTTTAGAGCATATGATTAATGTATCGCTGCTATTTCCCTTTGTCTTGTGATAACAGGGATTATCCATGCTAAACGTCACTCAATTGTAGACTGACCATAAACAATCTGGTAAAGCATGTTATCAATTGGTGTCTGGAAGCTTGTTTTGAGGATATAAAGTTGTTGCAAGGTAAATTAACTTGAAGTCTAACTTTTGCAGATTGGACTTTTGCCATCAAAATAATGTTTGGCTTAACACTTGTTTCTTTAGTTTGTCATTGGTGAACCGTACTTGATATCTGCAAGTGAAGATGGGGGCTGAAAAACATGGTTCAAAGAGTGGAGGTGGTTATGTTGGTGGGTTGCTACATCTATTTGATTGGAATGCAAAATCACGAAAGAAATTGTTCTCAAGCAAGCCTAGTATACCTGGTAAATTCATTCATATGCTTACCAATTCACTACATTGATTTGTGAAATTGATATGCTTTTTGTAGGTTTAGCCATGCTTATCCTTGTTTTCAATGATTTTGAGTAAATGTTTTTGTTTGTTGCTTGTCTCGTAGAGCTATCCAAACAGAAAAAGAGATGTGATGGAAATTTACCAAGGACGCGGTTTCATCTGGTGGGAAACACAAACATTTTATGTATATTTGTTTTCACTTTATGAATGTTGGATTTGTTGCTAGTATCATTCTTTGAGCACATTTTCTCATTGACTACTTCCTTTTTTCCCCTTGGCTGGGAGTATACATTGTCGTTAAACTGTGTATGCTTTTTGTCTGGAAATTTTCAGATAGATGAGGATGAATTTGTAACTGGATCAAGTATAAAAGGAAGTAGCGATTATAGTTGTGCTTCATCAGTGACTGATGAGGACATTGGTGGAGTAAGGGCACCTGGAGTTGTTGCAAGGCTTATGGGACTGGATGCCATGCCAACCTGCAATCTAGCGGAGCCCTATGCTACCCCATATTTGTATTCACAGTCTCTTAAGGATTCTAATTATCATTCCAAAAACCTTGGAGGTCACTGTGAATATCAATCAATCCTGTCAGGCAACTTGCAGAACAATATGGTGGCCTCCGTTGGGAATTCTCTGGAGCCAAAGCGTCCAAAGCCTTTGAGCAGGCCCATTGAGAAGTTTCAAACCGAAGTATTGCCACCTAAATCAGCCAAGTCAATTCCAATCACCCATCATAAGCTTTTGTCTCCAATCAAAAGTGCCAATTTTATCCCTTCTGAGAGTGCTGCTCACATAATGGAAGCAGCTGCTAGAATTATTGGACCTGGACCTCAGGCTACCACTACTAATGTAAAAATGCCCGTGGTTGGGTCTTCTTCTGTTCCCTTAAAAGTAAGAGACTTGAAAGAAAAGGTTGAATCTTCTCAAAAACCATCCAAATCCAGTGAGGTGTCTCGACATCCAATTGAAGCTAATGCTTTTAAACATCTCAAGGGACAATCCCTAAATAAGAGCTGGAATGGATCAGCAGATACAACATCATCAAAGATTTCTTCCAACTCAGAAGAATGTTCATCTACTGCCAAAAGCAAAGGTAAATCCATCTCTCTGGCATTACAGGCAAAGGCCAATGTTCAGAAAAGAGAAGGTTTAAATTCAAACACCAGCAGAATTTTGAGTGGCCAGAAAGAATCTCCTGAAGTCATTTCGAGCGAGTTTTTCAAAAACCGAGCAAGTAGTCAAAAGAGCACACAGAAGAAACCATCCACTCTTGCAGATTCTAATGTCCTTCGACAGAATAATCAGAAACAAAATTGCTCAGTTGATAGAGGAAAGCAAATGTCTAAGCCATCTACTACAAATGTGCAAGGTGGGAAACCACATAATGGAAATTCCTCGTCTGCACGATACAAAAGCGCAAGCAAAAATGCTTCAAACTCTAAAGTTGTTTCCAGGAGGTTGAATACAGAAGGAATGAATAGTAAAAGAGAAGATTCTTCTTCCACTACCAGAAATATCACTTGCAAGAAGAGGTCTATAGATGGCAATTTTCAGTTTGAGAAAAACCGTACTTTGGATAACAACGTCATTGGCAAGAATGGAAAGTTGATCGAATCTAGCACATTGGCGGACAAGCAGAATAGTCTCACAGAAGCTTGCAAAAGAAAAGGAACGGATGTTATTTCTTTTACATTCACAGCTCCAATGACAAGGTCATTTGTTCATGGTCCTGAGGCATTTAGAGAAGTAAGTGAGAAAAATAGTGATGCCCTTTCTGCTGATTGTAGAGGTAAAAGGTCATCGCAAACTTCGGATAACATGCATAAGAAGTTTTCTCTCTTTGGACCTAATATTATAGGAGGTGATGCATTGAGCACTCTTTTGGAGCAAAAGCTAAGGGAATTAACTCATGCAGTTGAGACTTCACGCATCAAGGCAGGGACAGGTTGGACTTCCCCATCCATTTTCCAGGATTCTATGCCTGATCTAGATGCATTATCCTCTTCAACCAGTTTGCTTGATGATAGAAGTCGAGATGCAATCAACAGAGATCATATTGTTGACAAATGTAACTCTGGCTTTTCAACTGATCTTCAGGGATTCATAATGAAACACAAATCCCAGGTATCATTTAAATATGATTTCTATCTATCAACTGTTGAGTCAAACAAGTTCTTCCACTTTCAAAATTCCCATCATTTATATAATTCAGTGAAGTAACTAGAAATTGTTCTCTCTGATATTCTCAATCTGCATTCAGCTTCTACACTTAAACACTAGATAAATTAGAAGGATATCATTTTTTTACTGTCATTCCATACTGGAACTGTACAGAAGGTTGCAATCCTGCGATTACTTTACCATCAAATTGCCTTGGTGCCGCTCTTCTTGTGAATTTTGATGCTTGTAGAGGTAGAGTTTGTGAATCTCAAACATTTTTTTACTCTCTCGTACAATGAGAGATATCTGTTTATAACATATGCACTCTGAAATTGGTTAGGTCAATGATGTCCATTCTGTCCTATGGAAAATCTGATGGTAATAAAATATCCCAGGAAACTTATCTTGTGAACTAACAAAAAATGAAGAGTAACCAAGAGAAATTCAGATGCACCAATGCGGGGGTTAATGCTAATGGATGTGGTCTTGACTCATCTTGTGGCTTACATGATTATATTATAATGATGTCAATATCTATGAGGATCTATGACCATAAACTTGGTTTTGAATCACATGCCTTCTGAGCTTAGCATGAGAGCTTGTCAAACTCTCTCTAGAATCTTTTGAAGCATTGATGATTTATATGTTTTCAGGTGACTGATCAAGCTATGGATAACAATAGCAGAAACAACTTTGACGCAAGACAATTCCTCCACCATCGACTTCCAAGTCCTGTATCTGTTCTTGGGCATTCGATTTTCACAGAGAGTTGCAATTCTTCAGATACAGCAGATAGCATCAATACTGGAGGTAAGGGCAGTGCTTTTAAGCTTTATTTTCATTTCTTCCTTTTGCAGACAAATAGTCTCGCACAATGGAATACTAGATGAAACCTGAATAATTGAGCATTGTGTAATTATTTTAGGTAGCAAAGAAAGTTCATCAGTAAATGCTCAGGAAGTGCTTGGTATTAGTTGTTTTAAGAATCCCCATCTAGTGGATAGTGAAACCGAGTTGTCAGACTCAGCCTCGTCCATGTCCACTGTAAGCATAAGTGAAAAGCAAGCGGTTTCCTCATCAATGACAGAGCTCAATCACTCGGCAAAATGGGAACTGGACTATGTGAAGGAAATGTTGTCCAACATAGAGCTGATGTTCAAGGATTTTGCATTGGGTAGGGCTGGTCAGATAATTAACCCTGGCCTCTTTGATCAGTTGGAAAGTCAAAAAACAGTGTTGTGTAAGGACGAACCCAAAATAAGCCGGCAAGTATTATTTGACAGTGTTGCAGAGTGCCTGGACATAAGATTTAGGAGGTATGTTGGTGGCGGATACAAAACATGGGTAAATGGTCTGTCCTTGGTGAGAAGCAAGGGGAAACTTGCAGAGGAAGCATACAAGGAAATTTCGGGGTGGAATGACATGGGGGACTGCATGGTGGATGAACTTGTAGGCAAAGATATGAGCAGCAAACACGGAAGATGGCTTGACTTTGAGATTGAAGCATTTGAATTGGGAGTGCAGATTGGGAACCGCATACTTAATCTATTACTAGATGAAGTCATAGCAGACATATTGGTACCCTAATGGCTCAAGCTGCATTAGCTTGGTTTATTTTCATTTTGCGAAAATCCTATAGAATTGAACAGGAAATTCGTCCTGTTTAGAATTTTGCTTGAGATTGTTAAGAGGTTTTTTTTGGAATCATAAATAACAAAAGTTACTCTAGAGAACCTCTTTCTGCTTGAAAAGAAAAGTTCTGGCCTTTTCTCACTTTGGGATATTTGTTTGCATGCCTTGATCTCCTGTATCTTCAAATGATGTCTTGTTTCCCGAATATCATTGATCCCCTTCCATTCTCTCGTGTTTTCTGGTTGTCTAATTGTCCCAAAGTGATCTTACTACTGATGATGCACCTCTGGAAAACAAACATTTTGTCTCAAGCTTTGACACGAGCGTTTCATATTGACCATATTAAAGTGAATTACCGAACTATGTTTATAAGCATAAAAACCTAGCATTAGGAAATGCATCATGCTGGTACGGTTGCTAATTGTTGTTGCAAGCATCATCTACTCGTAAGCTGTCAAATTATTTGTAAATGCATCAGCTTTCAAATTTGAGGAAGTTAGAATACTCATCTACTCGTGCTGTTTTTATTTATTTTTGGCAAATGTCTTGATACTGTACATGCTGATAATCAATTGCCTACACATGCTACCTACCATAAAGCGACAATCTGCTAGATAAAATTGTGAATTTATTCAGGACTACTAGTTTTTATGTTAGCCGACTATTACTTTTTAGAGAGGGGATTACAGCAGCTGCAGCAAGAAAAGTTGACGATATATGCCTTTCTCCTCCGATGAAGCATTTTGATGTTGAACTTACTGCAACTGGTCTGTTTTTGTGGGTTTAACTCTCCCATGGCCATAGTACGTCGTCATCTTCTTGATCCCAAAGCCCGAATCCTGGTACAGCATATTCTGCATCCCAGGTATGATTGAAATAAGAATCTAACGGTGCGAAACAGTCGTACAGGCCATCCCCCGTGTCTGAATTTGAGTTGCTGGCACCGGAGTCGCTGTCCTTGTTAATTGAAGCGCTTTCTGGATACATTGATTCATTTTCTGTGTCCCCAGTATGCACTGAAATCTCGCTCAGGTCCATCAAATCGCTCTCCAGAACACTTTCAAGAAGCAAAGTTACATCATCTAGCTCATCATTTGGTCCCGCGACTCCCTTTTCTCCTTCCAGCTTTTCTGGAGAGGGCACCAATAATGCCCTCGCACATCCTTCACCTCCATCACCACACCTAATATCGTGCATGCTATTAATGCATCCCCCTTCGCTCTCATCGTAATCATAATTATTATTGGCCATTGGCTGCAACTGATATTTTCCGCTCTCCTCAACCGCACCTACCGCCGCGTCATCAGAAACTTTTTCTGCTGCAGCCGTGGACTCAGGTACCCCATGTGTGGTGGCTTCGACCATACCTACCAGTGCATTTTGCGCTGCTGTTGTGGCCTCTTGAATCCCACTTGTGCTGCTAATCTTTGATGATGATGATGTTTCATTAGTAGTAGTAGTAATAGGAGGAGCTTTTGTGATTGGGTGCATGCTGTACTTTTTGGCAACCGCTCGGCTCACCCGACCGCCTTTTCTCTTAGATTTGCTAGGCATGTTGACCATGTCTAAGGTGGTCACCGAGGAACCATCGCTGGACCTAAAACTATAGATTTTCCTACTGAGGTGAGAGTTCCAGTAGTTCTTCACTTCGTTATCTGTTCTCCCTGGTAATTTGCTTGCTATCAAGGACCACCTGCGACGCATCGCCCCATGAAGTAAAACTAAAACTCTCATCTCACGATGAATTAATAAAATGTCATGAAAAAACACTAGTACAAGAGCCACGGAGACAGAAACTGTACGATCGAATTAATTCTAGTTGCTCATAATTAATTTGCTGCTTCCCGACCAACTTTTAGATGGAAAAAAATAGAGATCAACGGCTTCAAGTTCGGGGACTGGGGTCTAGAAAATTTAATGCCCTCATTTCCAAGTAAAGGGAGGCAGCTACAATTTTAATTTCTTTGGCCGTAATTTTCTTTTCCACCAAACTCATTAAAGGCAGAAGATACTACAAGGAACACAAATAAACAAGCATTTTTAGTGGTCCGCAATACTTTTTTGTTTCGCGATCTTCGACGTTTTACTAACTTTGATGCTTCTCAAAAGGCCTTCTTAAACGTGGAACTTCGCACATCAACAGTACCGAGTCACGGATTATGACTGTCGAGTGAATAAAGCAGAATGTACTCGTGGCATGCATACATACATACCACTGCGCTACATCATCATCTTTATTACCATCCACCAAGAATTGGCAGGAGAGGGTACGACAAAGTTACAATCGTATCGAAGTCAAGAAATTTCTCCATTATTGTAGATTCACTTTTCAGCATCTAAAGTACCAAGTACATTTCAATAAAGTTTCCCTTTTTTTTTTTCTTTTTTTACGCACGATTCAGCAAGTGACTAAGTGCTAACAACTCGTTAGGTTGGAACTGATTTTTTTTTCTTCTCTTTGGACCGTTGTTTACGCACAACTACATGTTAATAACGAAATGGTACAAGTTTGTAACTATGTTTAGTGAAGCCAAACTTAGGCCTTGGAGAGAATAAAAAGAAGGGGGGAAAGAAAAGCGAATAAGAGAGACTCTCACTTATTTCCCACGGATCGATGCAGGTTGATGATTGTCTCTTCCTCTTCTCTGGTGAAGTTTCCTCTCTTCAAGTCTGCTCTCAAGTAATTAATCCATCTAAGTCTGCAACTCTTCCCACACCTCAGTAAACCTACAAAATCCCATGCCAAAATGAAGTCTTGATTTGAAAGCCATGAAGAACAAAGGTGAGCATGAAAACTGAATGCAAGAGAGAAAAAAGAACAATAAAAAACCAGCACTAATGGTTGGCTTTGACGTCGATCGGCAAGGAAATATTGGAGCATTGATATCTAGTTTTTGGTATAGATATATGAACCCTGACCCGTTGTTGGGTTGATGCCCAAAGATTGAAAGGGCATTTGGATTGATAGCAAAAGGCCTGGCAAAATGGTTGCTAGCATTGTCCGTTGTTGTCTGCTGTTTTGGTTTATGCGGTGCGACTTTAGTTTAGTGTGTCGCGTTTTTTTCCGCAAAGGATGGCGACAAAAATATAGCAATGGCAAGACGTGATTTGATTGCCTGCACGAGGGAGCTAAGAGTTCCAAGAATTCCAACATGCAAAAAAAATATCTATATATATATATATATACCTGCGTTCTTGGGCAAGGATCTCCAGGACCCTTCCCCATTTTGTTTGATGTAGTTGATCAATTTCTCATCTTCTTCAGCTGTCCACCTTCCTCTCCTCAACCCTACCTTCTCACAGCAAGGTGCTCTTCCCATTATTAATTTCCAAACCCCCTCCCACCCCAAAAAAAAAAAAAGAAAAAAATTGGAAACGACACTGCGTGGTCTACTAGCTAGCAAAGAATAATCAATGAAGGACCGATATCTACTAGCTCGCTAGACTTCTTCTCTTTCTCCCACCGATCATGAGCACAACTCCAGACCAACGTGACTTTGCAGTTGCTTTTATATACCGGAAAAAACTCGTCAGAGATGTAAAGAGGTGGGGCTTCCTGATAGAGATGTTTACGGATATCAAATGCGCCACAAGAACCATAGCCCCACCATTTATGCAGCATGTGTTTTTTTTTTTGCTCTTTTTATATTATTATTTGTCCATTACTGTTAATTTTTTTTGTATAAATATATATATAAGTATATATATATATATATAAGCTCCGTTTGAATTAATTATTTTTTGAAATATTTCACAATAATCATGTATATGAAAATTTTTACTGTAAATATTTTTGGTGATGTTTTTGAAGATATTTTTTGAATACATTTTTAAATATTTTTAAAATTTAAAAATTTTTAATATACTTTTAAAAAATTAACACCACCACCCATCACCTCCACTGACCCTCCCTCCTCCTCTCTAAACCTCCTCTTCCCCCCTTTTCTTTCTCCCTCTCTTCCCTCCGTCGCTTCCCTTACCCTTCTCTCCTCCCTTTCTCCCTCTCTTCCCTCCATCGCTTCCCTTGATGGGTGTGGTAAGAAACAGGAGGGGAAGGGGAAGGGGAAAGGGAAGGGAGGAGGGGAGGTGGAAGAGGAAGTGAGAGGAAAGAGTAGGAATTAGGAAATTGTGGTAATAGATAAAAGAAGAAAATGATGTAAATTTTTAAAAAATTTTTTTGTATGTTTAGAGTTTTTTTTTATATGTTGTATAAATGTGATATTTTTGAAGTTTTTTTATTTATATATTATTATAATATTATATATATGAAAAACTTGTTTTTTCAAAATACATAAAATTCAAACGGACAAAAAATGTTTTGGTTCAATTATGATCAATTGTTGTAGATCCAGACACTGCCTATTAACAAGATTTTTTACATTCACGGGACCCAAAACGTACAATGTATTCTATATATTTTTATTGAAATGATCATTTTTTATTGATTAAAAGCTAAACTGTACGATTCTTAGACAAGGACTCATGATGAGCTTTACAAATGTGTACGATCTATTATATTGGCCATTGCTGCTTATTGCCTCACCTCCCTTGCATTAAAACTTTTACCCATTGATCCCTGACGCTGCTCCCAGATAAAGTAATGAATCTGTCCCGCATTGAACAATCATTGCAACCACAGTGGAATAACTCGATTTGATCTACAAATTAATAATGTGAGGAAAAAAGTTGATAATAATAATGAATAACAAAGAAAAAGTTGTTAATAATGAATAACCCGACAAGACATTTACTTATCTTTACGTGATTTGGTTGGTTTTCCGTCCATTTCCACGTTGCATCTTTAAAGCAGAGGCAGACCTCTTAATGGTTGATTCTTATTGGTTATAGAGACACTGCGCTTGAAGCATTTTCAATATTACACTAGTTAATCATTTTTTTGTAGCGTGATTTAAAATAATACAGGAGAGATTCTTAAATTGAGAATCCTGGGTTTCTTGGATGTGAAATTTGGAGGATGGACCTCCAAGTCTCATTCACGTAGTACTACTAGCTCGCAAGAGGTAAAGCGCAAATCCGTTTCATTGAAAGTGTCATACTTTTCATTTTAAAATATGCTAAAATATTTGTCATGTTAAAAAGGTTAAAGTGCATTTTAGTAGCTCCTTCCAATCAATGACAGAGTCAAAGGGGGTTGAGAGGGTTCATGGTCCCCTCTTAAGTTTTGAAAATTTTAATTTGTAGCGTATAAATATATGTGTAAAACAACGTCGGCTCCCCAGATTTTTATAATTTTAATTTATATCATGAGATTTTATACATACGTTCATAGATATATATATATATATATATATATATATATATATATATATATATATATATATGAATTAGACACTTTTGAATTAATTTTGCCTTCAAAAAAATTATTTATTTTTCATTGTGCTAATTATTTAACTTTCAAAAAATTAAATATATAATTTGATGATCCATAGTAAGTTGACCCAATTTAATACATTATAATAAAAAGACCTAATTCATACTTGTCAGTGGGTTAAAACAAAAATAATTAACTTAACCTTTCTGGCCCGTATACAATTTAACCCAATTTTTTTTTCCAAATGATAATAGCATGTCATTAACTGTCAATATTTTACACTCAGAGCAACTGCCCTATTAAATCATCCCTTGCAACATTGACTAGCAGGGGGGAAGTCACATTTCCAAAAGTACATCTAAGCAACATTTTAAGGCAAATTTTGCCAACTTGTGGCCCACTACATTTTTTTTTGTAATTCCGAACGTGCCCCGATTCGAATCCTTAGGACTCGAGCCAGCTCACCAAACCGGAGAAGTGCGCCACGGCCCCACGCAGCGACCCCGAGCGTGTCACGGGCGTTCAAGTTCAGGGTAAGATTCGAACTCAAAATCACAATAGTTCTTAAGACCGCTGGACCACTCCCGTGAGGGCATGGCCCACTACATTGCCTGCTCTCCTATTAAACGAACAAGTACAGGACTTAAAAATGCTTCTTCAATCTTCCTATATCCTCCAACACCGTCGCACATGTGTTGTCCTCAATATCTTCCTATTGCAGCTTCTTTATGATATTTTGGCAATCCGATTGTACTTCAATTTCCTGCCATCCTTTCTATAATTTAATCCAATTGATTAGCCTTATTTTCACTCTTCCTATATCAACTGTAACTATAGAACGGATATTTTTAATATTGAAAATAATCAAGACAAAACTCCGAAACAAGATGGAAAATAATTTATTGAATGATTGTTTAACTATGTACAAAGAAAAGGAAGTCACCAAAAATTTAGCACTGATTAAAGTTCAATTTACTTGTAAGAAAATGGGTTAGAATTTCATGGTATGTTAACATAACTTTTATCCTTTTAATTGAAAATATTTATATTTATATTTATATTACATAGTTATATATTTTTTTTCCCGGGGGGAGGGATGGGTTGGGTGGTACGGGGGGAGGGAGTGTAAGCAAGAGATCTCGGGTTCGAGTCCTCCTGCTTACACTAAAATATATATATATATATATATATATATATATATATATATATATTGCATATGTGACATAATGGCGCATCTTTTCATAATGTGCAACTTAGATGGTTTGTGATATTATAAGATATTTAATCAATGATTATTTTTTGTCTTAATTTTCGTTATGACCATGCTACATATTTATAAAATAGGCATATCTTTATAATTAAAGTTAATATTTAATGTTTTCAGATGTCATATATTTAAATAGATGAAAATTATTTGGAACATAACATATTAAAATAATTTTGTTAGAAAAATTTTGGCTCCTCCCTCCAAGAAAAAAATCTTGGCTCCGTCACTGCTTCCAATATAGTATTTTCTTTGAATCATATGCATATGACAATTCAAATTCAAATTTTAAATTTGTGAGAGTAAGATTGAAAAGAAAAATACAAAACATCATAATCATACCGCTATGTTTTAAAAATTAAATTTTCAAAACATGACAAAATAATTAGAACGGAAGGATTACCTTTTTGTTTGGTTGATGCACATGTACTCGTCTCGCTGGCTATCCGTTGAGTTGTTAAAACATTCAAGGTCATATTGTATATTGTACAATTAAAAACTACTATATTTGTGCTTCATTTTTTAGGAATAGGGTTAATTACAAAATGTACCTTTGATAATACATGACCTTACCTATGCCCACCTCATTAAAATGACAAAAATGCCCTCATGTGCATATATATATATATATAGATTTTTCCACTGAATCGATGAATTATTGACTTGATTTAAGGCATATTTTTCATGTCCTCGCAATATGTGAAGTGGAATCATGATAAAATCAAATGTAACTTAACATTTTGTTAAGTTTATTGGATCAGCAGGGAGAAGTTAAAATATTTTGGTAACAAATTGATTGAATTGGACAGTAAGCAAGGTAATTTCAGAAGAAATATGTAATGTTTGGGGCTATTTTGTGATTAACCCTTACAATTAATCTCCAAAGGTAAGGATCAATTTGATGCACCAGAGAGTGTAACCTCCAACTACGCAGGGTATAAATTACTAAAAAGTTTTATTTGCCTGATTCTGATAGTGGAGATAGTTTATGGGCCCACGGATGGTGGATCAATAATTGCCCCAACAGTCTCATCACACGACGTACAATCCAGATTACACATAGTACAAGTATTTACTTTTTGGTCTGGAAGTATTTACTCATCCAAATCGAAATAAGACATTGCGGTCCACGTTTTTCACGTCTTTTTCTTGCAATCGTGGTCCATTTCTTTGTCTCTCAAAATTCTACATACTATTTCCTAAACAAGTTGGACCGTCTCTTAAATTGGATACGGGTTACCGGGTCAAGCGATTGGAAACTTTTTTTTTTTTTGAAAAAAATAAACAATATGATGTGACTTACAACGGAGTTGAGCAGTTCTACTAAACATACATATAGCCGTGCTATACTAAATATTGCATAGAGTGAAAGACTTGAACCCAGCCACCGAGCCAAAAAAGGGGCTAACTTCCTTTTCGAGGCGAGATCGGAGTTCAAACCCTACTTATAATGAAAAAATTTAAAAAAGATATCAGAACAATTTTTTAGTTGAGCCAATTTTATATATATATCTTTTTTAGACTCTTCTTTTTTGTAAATTAGGATAGATTAG